TGGTTTCCCTAAAATGTTTTGAGCTGAAGCACTTCACACTGTTGTACACATTGTGAGTCATTTAGCGTGTTCAGTTATTTGAGGAAAGATTCTAGAAAAAATTTGGAGGGGTAAGGGTATTATTTTTTTGAAATATATATATGTATTTGGTTGTCCTGTTTATATTAATGTGATAGGTTAGGACAAGTTGGATCCCAAAGCCACCAAAGGATTCTTACTCGACTATATAGATGGAATTAAAATTTACTGAATCTGGAACCCAGTCACCAGAAAGGTGATTCATTCTCGACATGTTACCTTCGATGAGTCGATTATGTTCAAGTCTAATCAGGATCGACAACCCACTCTAGAACCGAATATTATCTTTGCCATTTCTACTATAGTCGACGGAATTTAGATAATTGACAGTCCTATTGTACCCAGCTCATCTGCTCATGGTTTTACTTTGGAGTCAGAATCTGAAGAAGATGTTGATCCACCAGATCCATCTACTTTTGATCCAGTTAGGTTAGTTCAGAAAAAAATTATGAATGATGGTGGAGGTCAAGACAATACAAATTCAGTTTTAATACCTACGAGGCAGAGCCAGAGAGCTGTTTGTCCTCCTAATAGATATGGTGATTGGGATTATGCAAATATGAGTTTCACAAACCAGCTTGAGTATGCTTTCCATGTTGTGCAGGTGATGGGATTTAGATATTGTATCTCTACAACACTAAGTGGTAACACATGGAAGTATACATGTGTCAACACTATCACATTTAAGTAATAAAATGGTAAGAACCAAGTATCATATTCCACAGGGATAGGTATCTTAAGTTGCTAGATCTCGAGTTGAAAGACTAACTTCAGATGGCGAATTTGAAGACTTCAGTTTGATATTCAGATGATTTAATACAAATTACAAAATAAATAAGGATAACAAGGGTGTAAGACTTGTGGTGAGACCCAAATGCAAATTCCAGTAGCCAATGCTGTAGGAATGCTACAGCAAGCAGTGTTTCATAACTTAGTTCCACCATCTATTTTGAAGGTATTTTTCTCGGACTTCACCATTGCACTATATTATAGCTTTCAACCCATATCTCTATGTGGTATCCGGACCAGGGATAGTGAAAAAATGATGTCTTCAAAATATATGGATAAACAAATCTCTTTGTTAAAAATCWCTCTCTCGAGTCGATTCCCATATCATTCAAGTTGGCGTGTGTTCTAGATAGTTCATCTATGAATCTATCACATTTTGACACTTTCAAAGAGTGACCAACCCGTCGGGAGTTAAGTTTGAAAGACATAAATGACAATTTGTCGGTAACTTTCTCAACTCTACCTCTTATATCATTCAAGTTGACGTGCGTTCAATGGCTTATCTTAAGACCATGGCACTTTAACACTTTCAAAGTGATCAACTCGTCAACAAGTGTATTTGGTTTTTATAAAAACTCGAATGAAACAATGGAACATCGTTTATGAAAACACTTAACTACTTTCTTTTGGTTTGAAAATCTCATATTTCCGTCTCACACCCAAGCTATACATTTAGCTACTCATAATGAAATGTAAATGACAAGTAAAGTAAATGACGGAAAGTAAAGACATAAATGTAAATTGCGGAAAATAAATGACGAGAATGTAAATGACGGAATATAAATGACAAGAAACATAAAGGAACGAAATGTAAAGAGCGGAAATTAAATGACAAGAAATTAAAGATGAAAAGCTAAACAAGAACTTGAATTTCTTCACAAGATGTTCATACAAATCAACTTTAGAGAGCTGATTATTGATCTTGGATACTTCCTAATGAAGCCAAGCACCTTTTTTTATACACAAAAATGCCATACAATATAAAAAGAAATGCCTAAAGGTTAATGTCCAAAGGGTACAACACAAAAGAACCCAAAGTACAAGCTTAAATACACTAAACCCAACTAATGTTTTAAACACAGATTTCTAACAAAAGTCAGCAGCTCCAGCTGTCTTCCACTAAGCACAAAAAGACAGCAGCTTAATCAATAAGATCTTCAAAAAGTCATGTACGTATCAGCTCACTGCTGTTCCAATGCTGTAACACCAAACTGTTAAACAAAGATTTTCATTAGCTTCCTCCTTTGAGTATAAACAAGTTAACCACATGATTTAGCTCCATAATAACAAAGAGACAAATAAAGTAATAAAAAAGGACTCAAAATATGAATAAAAAGAAAACAATCTAACTAAGAATAAGTAAAACGAGTGCTTTATATATTGAATTCTCAACATATATCAGCAGGATGAGCCATTTGACAATTTGTAGGCCCTTGCTTCGAGCCACTGTGCTAAGTGGTTAGGAGCTATGCAAGAGGAAATGGAAGCTTTATTGAAAAACAATACTTGGGAGCTTTGTCCATTACTGAAAGGCAGTCGTGCAATTGGCTGCAAATGGGTCTATAAAGTCAAAGATGATAAACGTTATAAAGCTTGTCTGGTTGCAAAAAGTTTTGCACAACGGAAGGGTATTGAGTATGATGATATCTTTGCGCTAGTGGTTTGACACACATCTATTCGGGTCCTTATGGACCTTGTAGCAATTCATTATCTGGAGCTTGAACAGTTAGACGTGACAACTTTTTTGTATGGAGATCTTGAAGAAACTATTTTATATGAAGCAACCCGAAGGTTTTATCTCTGACAACAAATCTGATTGGGTATGTAAATTGAAAAAAATTCCTTTATGGACTTAAACAATCGCCTCGACAGTGGTACAAGAAGTTTGATTTGTTTGTGTTCTCATTGGGTTTTGAGTGTAGTGAGAAACACGTTTGTGTCTATCATAGATCAAACGGTGGTATTTACACTTATCTACTTCTCTATGTTGATGACATGTTAATAGCTTGTAGGGATTGATCTGAAATCAACCGTTTTGAAAGATAGGTTGAAATTAGAATTTGAAATGAAGGATCTCGGTGAAGCTCGTGTTATTCTTGACATGGAAATTGTTTGGGACAGAAAGTATCGTACTCTCAGGTTGACACAAAAGGGCTATATTCAAAAGATTTTGAAGCGGTTTAATCTTGATGGAGCAAAGCCAAGGTCTACGCCACTCCCAAGACACATCAAGATTTACAAAAGACGATTGTCCGGTTGACGATATTGGAAGAGCTAAGATGGCAAAAATTTTGTATGCCAGTGCAGTCGGGAGTCTCATGTATGCTATGGTATGTACTTGTCCAGACCTTGCACCATTCTGTTGGAGTGATTAGTCGGTTTTTATCGAATCCGGGTAAATCACATTGGACAGCAGTGAAAATTGTATTTCGTAATTTGAAAGGTACAGAAACTCACGGTCTCATTTATGGTATGCAAAACAACTGTGATATTGTTGGTTATTGCGATTCAGATTATGCAGCTGATCGTGTCAGTTGGATATCCACTTCTAGTTATGTTTTTACATTAGATGGAATAGTTGTTAGTTGGACATCTTGGTTACAGTCTGTTGTTGCATTATCGACTACTGAAGTTGAATTTATTGCGGCGGTTGAGTTTGCTAAAAAAGCGGTTGATTTACAGAAACTCTTGGTCAGTTTCGTCTTGAAGCAATATACTGTCCGGATTAATTGTGATAGCCAGAGTGCGATTCACATGGCTACAATTTTGGCGTCAAGCTCATGTACATAGCACATTAATGTGTGGGATGCATTTTTGGTAGCTTTACATGATGCAAAAGTGGTGTACTTGAAGAAAATCATCACTGATGATAATGTTGTCTACATGTTCACGAAATCGTTACCACCAGCAAAATTTGAGCATTGCTCAAATTTGATCCAACTTAGATTGTGTTAAGTGTCGTTCGACACCTTGTTGGAGATTCATTGTTACTACAGATGACATAGCGACATCTTTGTGGAGTTATTACTTGGTATGTGTTTTGGGTTGCTTAACTTGTTCGTTTTATTGAGATTGCGCACTTGCAGATTTTTTTCTTTTCACTTTGATGGGTGATGGCCGAGCCGAATCTCATCACAGTCAAAATGCATTTTGAAAAACTTAATATTGGCAAGTTTTTAGAATGTTGTACAACTCACCAAGCAAAAAGTACAAGTAATGCATGCATGAGGTTAAGGATTAATTTGAGGCACATGTTTGTGAATATATATATATATATATATATATATATATATATATATAACTTAGTTTTTGGGAAAACTTTGGGTAGTTGATTCGTTCATCCAAGAATCTCGTAAACACGTTGTAAATTCTCCCGGTTGGTAATAAATCGATCTCTCTCTCCATGTAGAGGTACACTATCACCATGATAGTGGAACCACGTTAAATATCGTTGTCTCAATTTATGTGCCGCTTTAATACTTGATCGTATACTTGATATATAACTGCTAATTTCACATTTGTGGATCAGTATGAATTGTTAGACCATAATATACAATATTTAGATCTCATTAATCCGCATTTGTTGTATTGAGTCAGTTTGCACTGTGATTTATTATTATCACTTTGGACCGTAAATCACTCTGTAGTATGATATTCTAACTTACAATCGACCCAACAAAATATTTATAGAGTCAAGTATAATTTTTTTTCATTGACATATAATTCTTGATGCAAGTCTATGACAACCAACAAATGTTACCACCGGGTGCACCAAAAGTAGTGCGGTGCTTTTTTAATTAAAATGTAGAAAATGCACATTCTCTTGTCTCATTCTTCAAAATGAATTGTCTTTTTTTTTCGTGGTTTGACTTTCAAATAGAGAAACCATGCATTTAGGCTTTCTAGCTTGCAAATACAAGTCTATTTTGATCTAAATGTATTGTTCAACTCTAACATAATCAAATTGTACTTTAGGCTTTGATATAAATTTGAATTAGCTAGAGTTTCATGAATATCACAACATGTCACTATGCACATATAGAGCTTGAAAGTAACAACGCGGAGAAAAAAAAAAGGACCATTAGAGGAACATAGAGCTTAATTAAGTATGCGTCTTTTATTTCTATTTAGAATACATAAAATAAAAGAAATTACATATGAAATAAGAATTAATTCCTTGTTTAACTTTTAGATTAAAAAATACATAAAAGAGGAAACATAATGTGAAAAGTTACTGATATTCTTGTTTTGTTTTGAAGATTACCTTCAAAGGATTTTCCATTTTCATAGCAATCCCAAATTTCTCACTCATATCAAGCTTCATAGGATCAGCATCATTTGGAAGAATCAAATCAAACTCCCGAATCAAAGATGCCAATACAAGTTGAACACTCTTGATACCTGATGGCATTCCAGGACACATCCTTCTCCCTGAACCAAATGGCAACAACTCAAAGTCTTGGCCTTTAAGATCCAATTTTGAGCCGATAAATCTTTCAGGATTGAAAGATAAAGGGTCATCCCAAATCTTAGGATCTCGGCCCATTGCCCAAAGATTGACAAATATTTTGGAGTTCTTGGGAATCGTGTAATTCATAACTTCACAAGTTTCAGCAGCCTTATGTGGAAGAAGAAGTGGCACAGGTGGGTGTAACCTCATAGCTTCTTTGATACTAGCTTGTAGATAAGGTAATTGAGAAAGTTGAGAGTCGGTGATTTTTTCTGAGTTGATTTCCCTTTCTATCTCTTCTGCTATTTTAGACATGACCTCTTTATGTCTGACAAACTCAGTCATAGCCCAAACAATTGAACTGGTTGTTGTGTTTGTTCCTGCTACGAGTAATTCCTGGGAACACAAAATAAGTTTGGTTGGTTAAAGAACATCTATTTTAAAGAATACAATTAGGATAGTCGAAATATACGTTATTGCTATTAATATGATTGTTGAAATATATAATGAAAATCCAAATAATTGTTTGTGTCGATTGTATATTCGATACAAAGAACTATTTTTGCATATGTCTATCAATTTGTCCATTTTGTAGCAAAAGTGATATTTGTTTTGGGAGTCACTAAATACATGCATTTAACAGTTTTTAACGATTTTTATATATATGCTTATCATCCTATGCAAATATTTCTTTTGTCACATCCATAAGAATAAATAGCCGAGAAAGCCTTACCGTAACCAACTGATTGATCTGATCGTTTGAATATCCATTTTCAAGCATGCGATCCAAGAAAGACTGTGCKTGCTCVGATGACCAAGTTGAAGAATTGACATGGGCTCTTCTTTCCTCTATTATATCCTCCCAGTAAGCAAATGTTTTCTTATACTCTCTCATGGTTCCCTTTCTTATTCCTTGGAGATCAAATCTCTCAAAAATAGGGAAAAATGAACCAACATCTTTTATAATCCCTCCATACTCGATTATTTTGTGTATTGACTCGTTTAATCCATCACGAGTCGYGCTGTCATCTTCCAAATCAAGRAAATCTCTTGAAAATATAATGGAASTCAAAGTGTTGAACAATGTAATAAAAACTACATCCTCCATGTTAATCACTTGTCCTTGCTTTCTATGCAAGAAATCCAACAGATGGCCTAACTTTTGCTCTCTTAATCTAGAGTGGGATTCCAAGGCTTTTGCTGAGAACAATTCAGTTCGAGAAAGGGTTCTTAAGCTTTTCCAGGTTTGGTTGCAGTCTGACCAAATGAGGGAGTGAGGTATTACGGATGGTTGTTGAAATGCACTAGGCACAACACGAGAGGAAAGAAAACGGTCTTTAGTCTTAAGAATTTCTATGGCTGCCTGTGGTGAAGACGCAACCACAAGAATCTGTTTGCCTAAGCGGAGAGATATAAGAGGACCATATTCTTTGGCAAATTTGGCAGTAGAGACATGAGGTCGATCACCCACTTGATGAAGGTTTCCGATGATGGGCAACCTCGGTGGACCTGGTGGGAGGTTCTTCGAAGATGATGGTTTGGCTAGTTTGACGATGAGTAAAAGAAAGAAGATTGTCGATACAAGAAAGAATGGGGCCGAGAGATCGTTCTCTCTAACAAAACTTGTGATATCCATTAAGAGTACTTTGATGATGATGTATAGGGTTGTGAATAATTTTGAACTTGGATTGGGTGTATTTATAGCCTTGAAATGACATGCTTCATGCTTGAATGCAACTCCCAGGAGGTTTCTATGAGTACGTACACCGGTCAAACAAAACTACCAATTGTTTTGTTAGCTCTAGTATCCATGTGTATGTTGATGATGTAGTAAATTATGATTTTTGGTGAATTGTTACATTATTATATTTGCCACCATATGGCGGCCTAGAAAAACTTGGCGTTATTATATGTTTAATATACGTAAAAGCCCTTTTATGAATTTTTTTTAAGGTTTTTAGTACTTTCAACATCAACTATATAACTTATTTATGTATTGCTTTTTTTATACTTACCATCAATTTTATTATGTGTTTTTCGATTAGTTTCTAAATCTTAAAGCTAATTTAGATTTCAAAACTTCACATCATTTGAAATATTTGGCATACATTTGACATTTGGTTATTTTCAAACTCCTTTCTGAAATACAAGCACAATGTTTTTTCATGAGCTCGATTATATATATATCTGTATGTAGAGGGGTTCAAACGAGAACAAAACCAAATTAGAGAAAATGAAAATAGGCAAATCACGTGTAGAATCAGATGTGATTTTGCATTAACAGTTAATGCAAGAATGCAAGCAACGTGACCCACAACCCCATGTCGCAGCCAAAGTCTCGTGAATCACATGTGATTCGAATGTTTTCTTTTTCTTATTCTTTTATTTAGTCAATGTTTACGTATGAACCTGAATATATATATATATATATATATATATCTTGAAAACATCAACAAAATTATAACATAAGATATCAGTGAAGGTCAAGTCCTGTTGGGCAACGCAATTGTCATACACGTCTAAAAATGTAGCTTTGACTTGACTAACATTGAGAATACACCAGGAAAAAAAAAGGATTAAATCGTAAGTGATAGAGATGATATATCACCAAGTTAAATCTTTGAAGGTAGACAAGTATCCAATTATTCTTGGATATCTTCTTATGGTCAATGGTATAGAACGATATAACAAACAAAATACAACATTACTAAGAACGAGACTTTCATCGACAGATTTTCCACATAAACTGACCATCAGAAAATACATGGTGGCCTATCGACGTTCAACTAAAAAAAAGTTCAAAATCAAAGTAACAGAAAAACGTTTCAATCTACCTAGGATGGGAGGGGACTCATGAAGGATTAGCGATGGAAAAAGTTTGTGGCGTATCGAACACTAATTTGCGACATAAAGGGTTTGTGGCATATCCATCGCTAATTAGCAAGGGATTAGAGACGTAAAGAGTTTGTGGCCTATCTGTCGCCAATCCCTCGCTAATTAGCGATGGACACATGGAATCTGTCACTAATCTATTGCTAATTTGTCACAAATTAACGAGGGATTAGCCTCTTTTTTCTTCTTATTTTCTCATTTTTATATGTTATATGTACACATCGGTATGTGTTGTATGTATATATGTGTATGTGTTATATGTATCTGTGGGTCCATATTATACATATGTATACATGATGTGTATAAGTATGTTGCGATTGGATCTATATATATATATATATATATTGTTGTATATATGTTTATTTTTGTTTTTTATTTTTTTGGAAAACATGTTGTATATATGTTTATATGCATGTGTAAATGTGAATGTAATGTGTATGTCCTGTTTTGATAAGTATATGTGTTGTATATATGTATATATACATGTATGTGTATATGTGAATGCATGTATAGATAATTATAATGTGTGTGTTTGTGTTGTTTAATAACCGCATACAAATAGATAATAAGTCACTATGTATGTTATTTTGGCCTTAGTAAGTCATAAAGGGCGGTCTTATTGGGCTATAATGGATCTTAGTGGTCTTTTCAAATTCAATAAAATCACATTCATATATAGTGGGTCTTAGGGGTTGTTTGGCAGTTGCTGAATGATTTAGTGCATAATAGTTAAGAGGTCAGAATGGTTAAGAGGTCAGAATGGTTAAGAGGGTCAGAATGGTTAAGTGCTGAATGAAATAATGTTGTTTGGTAACTGTTCTCTGAATGATAATAAATTACCATTTTAACCCTCTAGGATGTATCATCATGATTTCACAACCAAGTTATCCAGTGACATTTTCATCCAACTTCTCATTTTCATCCAACTTCTCATCTTCTTCAAAACACTCGTCTAATTTCTTTTCATACTCACGATCATCATCATCTTCTTCTTCATCGTTATCATTCTTTTCCTTCAAAAATTCCCCTTCGTCGTTTGCATCGCCAACAACATCCAAAAACTCCTTTCTCAATAACTCCTGCTCTTCAAAATAACCCTTTGACAAGATCTTCCTCGTCTTTAGATGACTCATCGTCTTCATCGCTATCAATATCGGAATCGATTATACCGTTCTTCTTGTTGTGCTCGTACCGCTTAGCAAATTCTTCGTTGATTTCGATTTTGGATATGTCGCCGACTCCGTCGTCGTCAAATAATTTCATCCCCATTCTTTCTATGCTATGAATCGTCCGACTGTTAATCCTACTGTTAAATATATCCGGCGACCAAAATCATCCAAAACAGAAGATAGATGAAAGATTGGAGACAGAAGATACCTGATGGAGGCGAGCGGCAAAGCTGTGGAAGGCGACCGGCGATGGAGACGGTGGAGGTCACCGACGATGGAGACGGTGGAGGTCACCGGCGATGGAGACTCGGGAGGCGACAACCGGCTGACCTGGGGAAGGACGATTTCTCGTGAAGGCGACGTTAAGAAGGAATGCAACGGCCGGAAGAGTGGTGTGGAAGGGTAAAGAGGGAACAAATCCAATCTGAATGGTTTAGTGAAGTAGTAAATGCAAAATGGTTAAGAGGTTATTGTAACTATTAAGAGGGTTGTTTTTTTTGCCAAACAGACCTTACCTCTTACCGATTAAGAGGTTGGCTCTTAATGTCACCATTAAGAGCCAAACAAACAGCCCCTTAGTGAGTTTTAATGAATCAATCAGGCTTTAATGGGTTATATTGGACTTTAATGGATCTTGGTAGACTATAATGGTTATATTGAGCTTTAATGGATCTATTTTGGTGTGTTTAGTACGTAGACATGATATGATAAAACGGCTGTTCAATGTTTGGGAAGACATGATATGGCAGGACAAGACAAAACAAAATTGGTTAAAATGACCAATTTACCCCCAGTGAGTTATTTAGTGCCTTTTTTTTTACCAAATAGTCAATCTAAATGAAAAATAACAATAATATTTAAAAATACAAAAAACATCTAAAATAAATATTGATTAAAAACTTAAACAACATGTTTACCAATTATGTATTACACAAAAAGTTTATAAATCAAAAGACTTAAACAACATGTTTACCAATTACGTCTTACACAAAAGTTCATAAATCAAAAGACTTAACCAACGTGTTCATCAATTACGTTACACAAAAGTTGAATTGTTCACTATTGTCTACCAAAAGATCTAAACACAAAAGCTCAAATATCTATTATTGTGCACCAAAATACCTAAACATAAATTAAAATGTTCATCAACTAATATCACATGCCTAACTTCTTTTAGATGGTTCTCACGAATCTTGGCTTGAAAGTAGCATTCATGCCATTCCAAAGGCGTAGTTGAATCTGGTAATTTGCAATATACATGCTAACAGTGATAACTTGGTCACCATCAAAAACCATGTCGCTTAACTCATCGGGCATACTTTGCAAACCCGGAGTACCAATAACAAATACCAACTTACTCATGTCCTCGTATACCGAGTGCAACCCCTTTTCAATCACCTTGATTACATCTTTATAAACACCAGCTTTTATCTTTCTTTGTTTTGATGATGCTTCAATGTCTTGTGGAACGGAGGATGCAGAAGAGCTATTAGAAGGAGTAGACAAAGGCACGTTAAATTCTTAGGTCTCAGCATTGACTTCACTTTCTAGATTGATGTGCTCCAATGCAACTGCAGCAGATTCGTTCAACGATCCTGTAGCACGATGTTTCCCAAATATCATCTTCAATCGCTCTTATTGGGAAAACGGTTTGTTGGTAATATAGTTCTTGCTTGAATTTTTCTATTAAAACAAAAAAAATGAATGTATATATATGTGTGTATGTGTGTGTGTGTGTGTTTGTGTTAATCATTATCCATACAAAATTAAGTACCAAATAATTACATAAAAAATATAAGCATTACCTTTAAGTGTTCCTCTAATACTTGAGCATCCACCGTTATGCATTGATGCACATCATTCCAACCGAAACCATTTGAATTTAACATGTCATAAGCGATTGAATATTTATCTTTGAGCCGCTTCATCTTTTTTTTTAATGTGTTTTGATGTTATATTGAGGCTGGGATTTTTTCACGCATCTTTTAGATGATTTGCTCATACTATCAGCCACTACAATCTCTTGTAGGTTGCTAATTAATACATCCTCTTCTTGAATACTCCAATTACATCTATCCGTCATCTTTTAAAATTCAACAATTAGTAATAAAACAATACATAACGATAACATTTTAAAAATTCAACAATAGTAATAAAACAATACATAACAATAAAATTTTAAAACTCAACAATAGTCATAAAACAATACATAACAATGATGTTTTAAAATTCAACAATAGTAATAAAACAATACATTAATTGCTTATACTTGACATCCACGATTCAAACATCTCTTGGGTTATGTCATCTCTCCATTAAGTCCACTCATTTACAGCCGTCATGCTGTCAAAATTGACTTGCAATCTTTTTTAAATCATATATAGGATGACTATTCAACGGATCTCTCCCAAAGATACGGCGATGATCCCTTCACTTATCCCTTAGTTGATAAAGAGTTGTGGGAGCATGCGGTTGGGGAAGCAAGAAAGGCTGTCTATTTGGGTTTGGGTACAACCAAGATCTCAATTGTGTCTTGACCGGAAACTACACGGACGGTGGTTCATCTTCTTCAGATAAGCGGGTATGTGTC